TGAATATCCCACTTACTTATCGAACTTATCGAATCTTTTTGCTCTTGAGTTCGGCTCTTTGGTTGGAGTTCATCCGTTTAAATTTGTTTAACAAATATCCAGGGTTATCCATAGACTGTTAAACTCCTCGAGAAAGCTTACAAAGTTGACAATCTCTTTAGAAAAGATTGGGAATTTTCTAAACTTCTTAGCACTAAGGCTATTCTGGCTTTTTTTTGCCTTTCAATCATTATGAATCTTCATCAAATTTTTGACCTTGTCACACACAAACAAGTTTGTCATAAAAAAAGACTTAATAAAAGAATAAAATCAATGCTATCAATTCTATTAATCTCGTTTTTCAAATAATGAAAGAAGAATTGTAGATACGGACAAATATTAAAAAAAACAATTGTAAGTCGGCAAAATGCTAACAAGGAAATGGACTCGTTCCTGTGACTAAGATGAATCTTTTATTAGATAGATTAGATGATGATTCAAAATTTATATTATTTACCAAAAGATCCTGTAAATGCGAGAGGCTTGAAAGTCTAGTTTTAAGCGCTTCTAGAACAGAAGAAAATCATCTTCTCTGTCGCAGTTTTACAGAAACAGAAGTTTCTTTAGCAAATTTTTTTTACGGCTTTGTGATTTTAGTCGATTAGTCGAGCTTCTCTAAGGTCCATCTAAGCGCTTAACGAATTCGAACCAAGTTCGATATCGGATACCGGGAGTTAAGCCCGGTATCCGATATCGAACTGGCTGGCTGCTTAAAATTTTGCAATAACATAAAATAACATAAAATAGCATCAAAATAACGTAAAAATCTACTTAAAAAGTAACATAAAGATTTGCACCAAGTTTGCAGTTTGCAGAAGATTGCGGTAAACAAGTAGAATCAAGCTTCCCTTTCCCTATAGAAATTTAAAAAGCTAATAAAAAAGGAGGATAACTTTTTTTTTTTTTTTTTTTTTTTTTTTTCCTTTTTTTTTTTTTTTTTTTTTTTTTTTGAAAAGGGCCATTATTTAGTTGCCAACCTGATACAAATACTTTTGTGATACTTCAATAAAACTTTCTCTTATTTCATGAATTCAATTGTTCGACTAGGTTGTCGTTTTTCATTTTTGACTTTTCCTCGACAGTTTTCAGTTCTCCTAATTGAATTCGAGAGCTTATTTGAATCTTGAATCTGTTTGAGCCTATTCGAGAGTCTACTTGCGAATATGTTACTCGTGCTTAACTTGATTTGATTCATTTTCAACCCAAAGACAACATTAGCTGCTTTTCGCAAAGCTTTTTTAACATTTTTCCTCTTTATCAACCAGATTTTCATCGATGAACTTTTACTTTTGATGAAAAAGAATTTCATTACAGCTACAATAAGCCAAAGTAATTTAAAAAAATGATTCTAAATGATTCTAAATGATTCTAAATGATCTCATTAAATTTTTGATCTCAATGTTGTCAATTCCCACTTCTCTGAGTAATCCCAATCAAAATACGCGTTTGTTCATCGACTTCAACTCTTTTTCTCTTTAATTTCTCCTATTTTCATTTCTAGAACTTGAAAAATAATTGGCGAATACAAAGAATACGATCATAAAACCCTGATATTTCTTTTCGTTGTTTCACATTTTTCTAAACTCTAGGGAATTTCAGAGTGATTTTCGTCGTATTTCAATCTTTTGATATACTTAAATCCCCAAAGAGAAATTGAGTGTACTTCGGAAATTGAAAAGAGTGAAAGGACGGTATGCCTTTCAGTCTAAAGGCTTTCTAACCGATCTCAATCAAATTTTGAATTGTCTTTAAACTGGCTGCCCATAGTTTTATCCTTGCTGAGTATGGCTTGTAAGTCGATTTTTAGAAATTAAATTATATCCTAGCTTTTAGCTACAGTATCCCTGAATATCTTTAACGCTAAAACTAATGTACAACCATAGTCAGAAGAGGTAATCCACTAGGGCTGAGTATGTGGTATCCCTGAATATCTTTAAATTGCTCTGAATGTGATAATCTTTAACTTAAAGTTCTTTAAATATCTTTAAATTCATCTGAATCTGATAATCTTTAAATTAAAGAATTTAGAGATATTCAGGGATCGCAAGAGGTAATCCACTAGGGCTGAGTATGTTGGTATCCCTGAATATCTTTAAATTCTAAAGATATTCAGATTCAAATCAATTTAAAGATATTCAGGGATACCAAAGTACTCAGCCCTGGTGAATTACCTCTTCTGGCTGTAGTTGTACATTCGTTTTAGCGTGTTACCAGTTTCCTTGGAAAGTATTCTTTTCAAGTAATGTGTTTTCTAAAACATGTCAACTTTCGAAAGCTACAGTAGCCGGACTTCGTGCTTTTATCCAAATCTAGAGAGTGAAACAAATGCGACCTTTTTTTGCACACCCGGCCCCATAGCGCACCTTTTTTCGCGTTCTAAGCTCTAAAAAAGCTAATATTAACTAATTTTCATTCTAAAAGTTGTTTTTCTAGGTAATTTTAGGGTATAGAATACAAATTTTGACATATCCGAGCTTGTGGAACCAATTTGAAAGATAAAACGGGTAGGTCAAATGACGGAAAATTGTCGATTTTTCCCGATGTATAACTTCGTCCGTTTGCTTCCACAAGCTCTGATATGTCAAAAATTGAATTCCTACGCCCTAAAATTACCTAGAAAAACAACTTTTAGAATGGAAATTAGTTATATTAGCTTTTTCAGAGCTTAGAACGCGAAAAAAGGTGCGCTATGGGGCCGGATGCGCAAAAAAAAAGGTGCGCAAGAGAAAAGGTGCGCAAAAGAGGTCGCATTTCTCCCACTTGCTAAATCTATCCATTTTTGTCTGACTCTGAGGTGTGTAAGATAAATAAAAAGACAAGATTACGATCGTTTTCGAAAGTTTACGCAGTTTATTGGGTTGGTGAATTGAAAACTGTGGGCTAATGTCATAGGTGACAGTTTGAGCACTTTCTTCAAAAAAACCCATTTTGGTGTCAATGGAAAAGTTGTAGAGAATCAAAAATCAAGCTTACATCCAAATTTTCAGAACGATTCAAAAATTGGTTTTCAAGAAATGCGAAGTTTACGAATTTTCACAAAACTTGCACTTTAAGCGAAACTACTAAATGTATCTTTTTGGAAATTTGGCTATAAGTCTAATTTTTGATTCTCTACAACTTTTCTATTGACACCAAAATGGGTTTCTTTTGAAAAAAGTGCTCAAACTGGGACATCTGCAGTCCTTGATTTTTGAGTCTCACACTTGTCTCACACACAAACCAAATTCCTACTACGAAAGAGGAATCCGCAAATTGCCTGTAAAATGGGCAGAAGTCGTCAATAATAATGGAAATTATTTGGAATGAATTTATGGTTTTATGTCGAATAAATTTTAGTTCAAAGTCCCGCAGTTTTCAATTCACCATCCCAATAGCATCTAGTAACATCCAGAATATTCGATTTCATGAAATCTTCTACTCTAAAAATTTTTTTGAACAGGAAAACTTTCTAGAATAGTTTTAAAATAAGCCTATAGATTGCTTTACCTTTCAAATCTCATCAACTTTTCAGTATCCAGCTATGACAACAGTCAGTCGACTCTCCTCATCGCTCATGCCTGGTTTTTCCTCATCACCTCGATTTGCCTAAACTTTTTAGGTCTCTATCTAGCTATTTACCATTCTCATCAGGTACTTTTTTTAACAAACGATAGCTATTTTAATTTCTATTCAGAACATCGGCAAATATCAATCAATTCTCTACTGTTTTCTTTCCTTTAACATCTTTTTCTCAGCTCTCAATTCTTTTACTGATGTCGTGAGTCTTTTTTTTGCTCAAATTTTTTATTTCATTGATTAATAACAAAAAAATTCCGTTTTTTTTTCGAATCACACCCAAAAAATGATGCGATATGAGTGCTTAGGCTTTTTTGTTTCGAAAAAAAATAGGCTTGGTTCTTTGTGTACGCTTTTCAGCAGGAATCTGATTAGAGATTGGGAAATTTGTTGATTTGAAAATGAAAGAGATGCTAAATACCCAGAAAAATTAGCTGTTTTTTTCACGATTATAACGGAAAAGATTGGATTTGATGGATGGATTGGATCTTAAAGATTGTTCAGGGTTGAACTAAAGAATCTAAAGCAATTCGTCTGCATTAGTTGATTTAACTGGACACTTACTACCTGTGAATCTCATTTATACATTACTATTTTTGAGTCCTAAATGCAAAATTTACTAGCGCTACTGTCAATACGCCAAAATTGATCTAATTGCGCTAACAGTGGGCGAAAGGACCGTAGCAAGATTCACGGTTAGAGTAACGTACTAGACATGGCCACTATCACTACAAAAATGACGAACTGTTACACTATAAACGCTTCTAACTTGTTTCAAATCTGCTGGATTAACACGATCTATAGCTCAAAAAAATAGAGAATCCCGAGAGCTTTCGAATGAACCAAAGCACGCCGAAAAACATCAACGCTAAGGAAAGTTAGTGAGAGACGGACCGTACTCGCGCGTAGTCGAAAAAATCGTGTCAGACTAAAAACTACTGTAACTTTCTTTAAAGTTGATGCTTTTCGGTGGGCTTTGGTTCATTCGAAAGGTCTTGAGATCTTCTATTTTTTGAGTTAAAGATCATGTCAATTGGGCAGATTTTAAGCAAATTAGAAGCGTTTCCAGTTTACTTTACGTTTGTAGTTTGCGGTGCCCATGTCTAGAACGTACCCTCTTCCTTCAAGAAATCACGTTTAAGTTACTAGAAGTCATTGGGTATAGTACAAAACACAAAAATGTAGTCTCAAAAAACCCGAAACAAGGATGACAAATTTAGCAAGATTGCTAAGATCTAGATGTCGACTTTGCAAATTCAGCCCATTTCTAGCAATTCCACGTTTCCGGTGGTCACAATCGGGCGTCTTGTTCGCTCATTTTGGTTGGTGCCGTCAATTTGGATGACGAGCGAACCTCGATAATTCTCATCTACATTTTCGTCTTCATTTTCATCGAAGCTGTCCTAATGGTAACCGGTCAAATCATTCATCGATCGCTCATCATTTACAAGTATTCCTTTGATATTAAACATCTAATGATTTAAAAAAGCTACTATTTTTTATATAAATATAATAGAAACTAGAAAAAAAAAGTGATGTCTAGGGATTGGACGTGAAAGAGGAAAGAAAGGAAAAGTGTTTGGGGTTCAAAACAGAAATCAAAAGATTGTTCGCTACAAGCAATTGTAAAATTGAATCTAGATTTTAATGAGAGAACACCTAAAAAGCTTACAAGAGAATGGTCTGAGCTCAAAGTTCGAAATTTCGGAAATTTCTAGCAGATAGTGTCTAGCTGCGGCCTCCCAAAAAGTGAGTCGTAGCCTAGTGGTTAGTGTGGTTAGTGCGTGATACACTTTTGCTTCCTGTTTTGATTCCACGGTTGTCCTTTTCGTTCTTTGTGATAAACCATAAACATACATTTTCTGGCACAGTAAAAAATGTGTATATGGACGCAGAAATTACGCAGAAATTTACTGTATTTTCTCTCATAGTAGTGCACCCTGAGCGTCGCCGAAATTGCTCGAAATCTCGAGAACCGCTTATCAGAACCTATCGATGTGGGGTCGGAAAATGTAGCTAAGGCATTGAATCTAGATTTTAATGAGAGAACACCTAAAAAGCTTACAAGAGAATGGTCTGAGCTCAAAGTTCGAAATTTCGGAAAAATAATTGCATAACGGTAATGAAAATTAGGTGTAGGACAACACTGAAAATTTGCTGACAGCAAGTTAGGTGAAAAACTGTGAGAGTTGAACGGAAACTTCTTCGCTTTACAAAAGACTAGCCTAAACATTTCATTCTGGCATACTGTAGTGGAATAGAATAACGAGTTTACCCGTAATTTAACTTTAGCTTTTAAAGTATTGGGTAATTGTCATTGGCAATCCTTTGAGCTCAAATACCTTGGTATCCAGCTGTCCAATTGAAATAGTTTTGATACCAATCGACAGAAAAAGACTTGACGCATCTAATGATACAAAGAATATTGAATTAAATTTAAATTGAACAGTTCAACACCAAGAAATTTGAGCTCAAAGTTAGATTGCTAATGGGGAAAAGGGACGAGGCGCGTATGCGCGCGAAAAGGTGGGGCATAAGCGCTCCGCGCCTTTGTCAATCTAACTTTAAGCTCAAATTTCTTGGTGTTGGGCTGTCCAATTGAAATAGTTTTGTACCAATCGACAGAGAAAGACTTGACGCATCTAATGACACCAAGAATCTTTAAATTCAACAGCCTAACACAGAGAAATTTGAGCTCAAAGTTAGATTGTCAATGGGAAAAGGGTCGGGGCTTGTCAAATGTCCGATAGCCTTAATGCTGAGATGTAATCTATGACAATTTCCAGAATCATCAAGCCCGAGAACACAATCACGACGGCTTTTGCGATTTTCTTCATCACTTTTTGCGTGTTGATCATTTGGATCATTCTCTTTGTGATGGCCAGTATTACGACGACGATGTGCTTTGATCGATCAGCGGGTGATGGAAATAATACGGTAATGGATCTGTATAAATTTGATAATTAGCTTTAGGTTCAGTTGGTAGACCCAAATGATCCAAGATGTCGAGATTTTCGGTACAAATTGATGAATATTTATGACTTCAACATCGCCACTTTTGTCGCGATTCCGTTTGAAGTAAGAGATTTCTAGTTACTGAAGGAAAATAGGTTACTGTAGCTATTTATTTCTGGGCTAAGATTACGATAATTAAGTCTAAGGATAATACTGTATTTTCCAGGCAAATGTCTCAAAAAACAAGTGAAATTAAAGATTTATCAACAAGACTGATTCAGCCATCTTGACTGATTTAGCAACAAGACTGATTCAGCCCATTCAACCCTTCATTCAGCCCATTCAGCCCTTTATTCAGCCATTCAGCCATCATTCAGCCATTCAGCCATCTTCAATCTAGACAACTAAATACTTTTAATCAATCACACTATAAAGCAGGAGAATGACTTGATCCTTTTAGACATACAGTAGCTGACAAATACTTTGTTAATCCTAACATTTAACTTTAGAACTTGAACTTTAGATTTACAACTACGACGAGCAAAAGCTGCAGCTCAGCTTGTACGCGGTGATGCTTTTCGGCTTTTTGTGTTTTCTGCTTATCGCCTCGATTTGCACGGTGATCGTTTGCTCGACGCTGATCATTAGAAAGGTAGATTTCGTACCGTAATCTCTGGAAAGTAGTACAGTAAGAGGTAAACACCAAACAGCCTTAATCTTTATGGCTAAAAGTTGGATTTCGTTACCGTAATCCCTATCAAAACAATGAAAGGGTAAAGCTAGGCCTAAATGCGAAGCCTCAGATTGTTCTGACCCAGAAATTGTCAAATATTAGAGCTCAAAACGATCACAAGAACTTGTCTTTGTATCGAAAATTTCGAAAATCAAACGTTTACTTGCTCAACTTCGTTTGAACTCAAACTATTCAAGTTTTGCCAACCTTTTCACCTAGAATATTGGTTTTCTTTGTATCTAGAGTTTCAAAATTCAAACTTTATTTCTTTTCAAAGTCTATTTCCGAATTTCCAGATCAAATCCTCGTCCTTTCATCTCAGCCAAAAGAATATGCACGCAGAAATGCTGAGGACTCTCCTGGGACAGGTGAATTGAAAGGGACAGGTGAAAGTTCTCTGTCGATTGGTATAAAAACTATTTCAATTGAACAGCCCAACACCAAGGTATTTGAGCTCAAAGGATTGCCAATCACAATTACCCAATACTTTAAAAGCTAAAGTTAAATTACGGGTAAACTCGTTATTCACGCAAATTACGGGTAAACTCGTTATTCAGAATATGCACGCAGAAATGCTGAGGACTCTCCTGGGACAGGTGAATGATAAGTGAAATGAAAGGAAAATGAAAGGAAAATGAGGGAAAGTTCCAAGAATTACTAAAAGCTAATTGTACACATGATTCCCAATTTCGGGAATCCCAAATGATTTGGTCTAGAAGATCTAGAAAGATTAAGATAAAGATCACAATATTATCGTGAAAAGGTTAAAAACTTGGGAGAAGATGGGAAATGAATGAAAATGAGTTCAAAAGCAAGGCTCTGTTCAATAGAGTAGGCTAGATTTTCTCAACAAAAATGAATTTAAAACCATGCTACTGGTAAAAATAGGTTCGAAAAAACAAACCGAATAGCAGGAAATCTTCGTGAATCAAGAAAAGCCTTCATGAATCATTTTCTTTATTTTTGGATTAAGGTTACGGTAATTGTGAAAGTTAAAGATACTTCTATATATTGTTTCGTTACCAAGCACAAAGAGAAAGCAATCTTGTGTAGTCTGATACTATTGAAAACTCACAAGGGAATGGTCTGAGCACAAAGTTCGGGATCGACTGGAAACACAATGCATAACATAGCATCGGCAATGGCAAACAAAACGCCACAAAAATTAGCCGCCAATAGCCACGGACACGCGAGGAATCTGACATGCAAAATCGGGATTTAAAACTGATTCCTTTATAAGTCTTCTCTCGTGAAATCGTGACTCCATTTTTGCCCTCGGGTTCAATTCCGCCCACATGCAAAATTTTTTTGTTTTGTTTTTTTTTACCTGGCTGTGCATCGACGTAATCACTGGAATCTCGAGAAAATTAACGAAATTTCTGAAATTGATCTGCTCCAAATTGTTTATAGGTGATTAAAAATAACTTTTATATCTTTTTTCATTTTCCCGGTTGAAAACTTGTATCGCAGAGAGTTCAATACGCAAAAATGTTAAATTTCTTTTATTAAACTTTAGTTTGCTTTAAAAATGAAATAGTTCCAAGAATCGCAAAAAAAAAAAAACAAAAATTTTGGATGTGGGTGGAATTGAACCCGGGGGGAAAAAGAGGACCAAACAGGACCGCCGTTGCACTTTGAGTAGACCTTCATCCACTAGACCACAAGCTCATCTCTAAGCCGGCAGCGAAAGAAGCATTATAAAGAAATCAGTTTTGAATCCCGATATTGCCTGTCAGATTCCTCGCGTTTCCGTGGCTATTAGCGGCCAATTTTTGTGGCGTTTTGTTCGCCATAGCCGATGATGTGTTATGCACTGTGTTTCCAGTCGATTCCGAACTTTGAGCTCAGACCGTTCCCTTGTGTGCTGATATAAAAAAAGCCTTTTGGAACTGAGTTAAGAACCTGAATTGTACAGAAATTGTGCCTACAGAAATCCACAGTTGAAACATTTCAAGTGTAAATTTAACTCAAATCCAACTCAACTTTCCAGGCTTTATCTCCGATTCTTCTCCTTCAATTACCCCTTTTAATCTCAGTCATTGCAATTGGAGTTGAGGGTGATTTATGGTGGCTTTTCTTCACCATGTATTTCACTCTTGCCTGGTTCCCGACTATACAGGTATCTACTATCTATTATTAGAGAAAATACGGTAATTTGAATTTGTTTCGTTTGAGTGACACAGAGATTTGACTGACCCTTAAAATTTGTATAACTTTACAGGGTATAACTAATGTACAGGTATAACTAATGTAAAGTATCCGAAAATTATCATTTAATTAAATTATCCTCTATTTATCATTTTATAAACTAAAGTCAATATAGAGCTGCTCAATTTCCAGCCTATGATCTTGATTCTGGGTGTCGCCTCGTATCGGAAGCGTTTCTTCAAAATCCTCGAATCAATTCGCGGCTCTTTCAAGTGTCAATTGGCCATTATTCGTCCCAAAATCAGAGAGGAAACTATTTCTTCAGCGTCTACCATGAGATTTTGAGGAAAAAAAACTATTGATTCAAATTGAAATTTATTCTGTGAACACTGGTATCTGTATAAATTTAAGCGTTTTTTTGGCTCAAAAAACACACATTTTCCTTGTCTTTTCTATTCGATTCTATCTGAAATCGATATGTTTTTGAAAGAGAACCGAAAATTCTCATTTTTGAAAAAATTTACTGAACACTTCACGAATGAATTCTTAAACTTTATGCTAAAATTCATTCTCTCAATGCAAATTATTCTTGCCGATGATTCTGGATTGGGAGAAGTGTTGAAAGCAATAGATAAAGGTAGTTTTAGATAAATTCTCTCAACAAAACATTTATAAATGATTGATGAAGCAATTTGGGTAGTTTATTTTACTGCAGCTCTAGAAAATGCGGCATCGATTAGGGAAGACGCTTTAAAGCGTGGCTCTGCTACCGTAGCCCGAACCAAGACTGTACGGATATCCGGGCTTTTTTCCGGATAATATCCGGATCCAATCCGTACCCGAAATTTTTCTGAAAGCTTATCCGATCCAAAAAGCCGATCTCCGAAAAGTCGATCTCCGAAAATCCAATCCAAAAAGCCGATCCGAAAAGCCGATCCGAAAATCCAATACGAAAAGATTCAATACGAAAAGATTCAATACGAAAAGATCCAATACGAAAAGATCCAATCCAAAAATCCAATCGAAAATATTATATTATATATTAGATGTAAACCACAAAAAAAAATGCATAAGAATCAATTACGCATACAAATAGAGAAGAACGATATTTAAGCAAATAGCTGAACACTTTTGGGAATTACTGTAAACTCAAACTACTGTAGGCTCAAAAAATCAGGATTTTCTTATTTGAACGCGCAAGTAAGCGTAGTTTTGAGGTCGCAAATTTTTGACCTTTTGTCATGATTTTACGATATCACGATTTTTTTTCCATAAAATGAAAACTTTCTACTGGTGTCGTGGTGCATAATAAACACTATTAGGATAAATAAAAATTTAAACCATACACTTTATTGATTAGCGTTTCCATGGAAAAATGGACACTTCTTTAAAAAAGGCGAGCTGAAAATCTCTTATGTCCGACAGATTATCATAAAATGTAGATGAATAAAGTTTTTGGCGAAAAATCTTAATTTATACACTAACTGTGACACCTCGATATCAGTAGAAAGTTTAAATTTTATGGTAAAAGTCTCATGGTGGTGACCCATCTGGTGGTGGTGACCCATCTGGTAGTGGTGACCCATCGGGTGGTGGTGGCCCATCTGGTGGTGGTGGCCCATCCGGTGGTGGTGGCCCATCTGGTGGTGGTGGCCCATCCGGTGGTGGTGGCCCATCCGGTGGTGGTGGCCCATCCGGTGGTGGTGGCCCATCTGGTGGTGGTGGCCCATCCGGTGGTGGTGGCCCATCTGGTGGTGGTGGCCCATCCGGTGGCGGTGGCCCATCCGGTGGTGGTGACCATCGTGGTTAGGGAAATTTTTTGTAATAGGGCATCATGATATGGTAAAAATCATGACAAAAGATCAAAAATTTGCGACCATTTTTGACCTACCACTTTGAGCCACTTAAAGTTTTTAGAAACTTGACACAAAGTGACTTTTTTCGAACGCCCTGTACTTTAGCGGCTAGATGGCTACCGTAACCCAATGGTACCTAAAAATAAGCAAAAGTAAACAACTAGATGAAACATTTACTAACTTCACGGTTTAGGGTAGCTGAGGCTTGCTTTAGAGTGTTACAAAATTTCAATGTCTCAATGTTTGTAGATAAACTTTATTCCAAATAAAAATTTCGTAAAATCCATCAAAAAAAGAGTCGATTTTTCTTCAGTTCATTTCTTTTTTTCTACATAAATATCACAACTCTTTCACTGAATTTCAAATAAACTGCATTTAAAAATATCCAAACCAAAATTTACCCGAATCTCGTTGATCGCAATGCAAAAAAAAATGACTAACAAATTTGACAAAGCTGAGTGAATTGGAAGCAAAGCAAAACCCTAAGCCAAGGAAATAAAGATCAAAAAATATATGATAAATATCAAAAACCTAAGCTAAAGTGAATACGAAATAGTTTTAGAAATTCCCGATGATTCGAGAAATGAGGAGGAAAAAAGCAACGAGAAAGAGGGAGCTTCGAGCGCCTAGCGAACACGGAAAACCCTTCTCGTCCTGAAAATTTTGAATAAAATTGTAAATTCACTGTACAAATGTAAATTTATAACAGTATTAAGTGTCTAGAATACGGTAGTTTGTCCCATTACAATATTCCAGGCTAAAGTATTCAGCCGTCAAGACAGGCTAAACTTTTTCTTTTGTAGCTAACTCTAAAACTGAGTCAGTGGTTCGACTCAAGGTTTATGAGTCACTCAAGGGTTTTTATCAAACTAAAAACCAAAGATTCTTTGAGTGATCAGTGACTAAACGACTAATCAACTGAATAAGTCAATCAAGCTCAAGCTCAAACTCACGAAATCGTGCACGAAACATCGTTTCTGTCGATTCGGTCGATCAGAGCGAACGTGTCGACATTTGCTCTCGGTGGTGTTGTGCTCGGTGCTTTTCCAGATGAATGGAACCTAGAAATTCGACATACCAAACTAATTTATCGATTCAATTTACAATAGATTTGTTTTCTACCGAAACTAACAAGGGGATGCCACAAAAATGGCCGTAACAGATTTTGACGCTGTTGAGATGCAAACGCCTATGGGGCACGGGGAATCCGATGCTGTATTCAGTTTTTGCCCATATTCAAAAGCACGCGAGAAAAACGTGTCAAAAGTTTGGGTGTATACTCGGAAAATCGTGCCGCAACTTATAAAGGTTCTTTATAAGTTTCTGATCCTGCAAAAAGAGGCCAGATGGCGTAGTGGTAAGTGTGCGTGTCCTCGATGTTCTTTTTGCTTTTTGGCCGCAGGTTCGAGTTTACTCCAGGAAAAACTTTTGTTTTCTTTTGCCAAATTAGTGAAAATTATTATTTTAGAGCTCCTCAAAGTGCTAACTATTACTAATTTGCAATAATTTAATCAAATGTGCTAAATGCCACAATCTCTATTGTTTCTCACATTTCTTCGAAGCTTTTCATTATGGTTTTTAAAGTTGCGTTATAAATTTTGTTGATTTTACGAGAAGCCTTTAATAGGTAATTAGTAATAGGTAATTAGTAATAGTTAGCACTTTAGGAGCTCTAAAATAATTTTCACTAACTTGGCAAAAGAAAACAAAAGTTTTTCCTGGAGTAAACTCGAACCTGCGGCCAAAAAGCAAAAAGAAGATCGGGTACGCGGATACTTACCACCACGCCATTAGGCCACGTTTCAAGGGTCGGAAAAGAGCCTTGATAAGTCCGCGGCACGATTTCCCGAGTAGACACCCAAACTTTGGACACGTTTTTTTCGCGTGCTTTTGAATATGGGCAAAAACTGAATCCAGCATCGGATTCCCCGTGCCCCATAGGCGTTTGCATCTCAACAGCGTCAACTCTGTTACGGCCATTTTTGTGGCATCGCCTTGTAAGCGCAACGCAGCAACGCTCAAGAGCTTACCGGACTTGGTGAAATCAATGGGCATTGTGACGGATCGTAGCATGTCTTTGAGTCTTTCGTTTGCGTCACCCAAACCATGATCAAATTTGTGTTCGGCACGTATTGTGCTTGCATTTTGCTATAAAACAGTTACTATATTCGATTTGTTTTCTTTTTTGACTTACACAGCGCATTTCGTGCTGATACACGGCTTCTCGGCTCTTCCTCCATCAACCAGATCACCGGCTGAAATATGGAATGATTTATGTGAATTTTCGCTTGTTTCCTGATTAAGTTTATGTTATATTTGTTTCTTGATCTATCAAAAAAAATCTATTGTTAGACTAATTTCTAAGTTGCTTCGGAAATTTTCGAAATCCCTAGCTGAAATGATGGTGGTGATGATCTTATGCCAAACGTTATTACGCAGAAATTTACTGTATTTTCTCTAATAGTAGTGCACCCTGAGCGTCGCCTAAATTACTCGAAATCTCGAGAACCGCTTATCAGAACCTATCGATGTGGGGTCGGAAAATGTAGCTGACGATGAGATCTAGTGGGGGATTAGAGCTTCTGTGAAAACTTGAAAACCGTAAAATAGTGATCAACTCGGCTTGGCAGAGTGCACTACTATTAGAGGAAATAAGGTAACTTGTAATTTTTACAACATATCAAAGTCAAAGTCTTACTGGATTTTCCCGTTTTCACTAGACACCCAATTGAGGTTTTAATCTCCGAAAAAGTTGTTATTGTATTTGAAAATGTAAAGAAGTTCAAACTTTTCTCTATTTTGACTCTAGTCAAGTGTCTACTTATTGAATTTTCAAATTAAAAACGAGCCATTACCGTACTCTTTACACTACAAACTCATTTAATTGATGCTGATCTCACAAATGAAAGTACAATAATTTCAAATGAAAAGTACAATAGTTTCGTTTGACTCACCCTTTGTGGTTCCCTCGTGATTCGCTCCAAATTCAGCAAAGTAGAATGGACTCTCTTTTGTGCACGGTTGTCCCTCATTACCTGTGTGGAACGAGGCGGTGAAAGCTGGAAATGGGAGAATGATTTGGGAAATTATACGGTCAAAACTGACAAGACAGAACTGGTTTTAAGTCTTTTAAAATCCTTGCAGAAAACTACTTCAAATTATGATCTTTCCAAGCTAACATTTCTCCAAAAGAAAATTGATCGAACACCATTTTTTTCTAGTTATTGAAGAAAGAAGAGTAGATCAAAAATCCGGGAGTGGGACAAACGCTACCTTTTTTTGCGCACCTTTTTTTCCGCACCTAGCCCATTAGCGCACCTTTTTTCGCGTTTTAAAAAAGCTCTAAAAGCTAATATTAACCAATTTCTATTCCAAAAGTTGTTTTTCTAGGTAATTTGAGGGTGTCGAATTCAAATTTTGACATATCAGAGCGTGTGGAAGCGAACGGACGGAGTTATACAAAGAGAAAAATCAACAAAAACAACCAAATTGAAAGAAAAAACGGCTAGATCAAATTACAGAAAATTGTCGATTTTTCTCTTTGTATAACTCCGTCCGTTTGTTTCCACAAGCTCTGATATGTCAAAATTTCGATTCTACGCCCTCAAATTACCTAGAAAAACAACTTTTGGAATAGAAATTGGTTAATATTAGCTTTTAGAGCTTTTTAAAACGCGAAAAAAGGTGTGCTAATGGGCAAGGTGCCGAAAAAAAAGGTGCGCAAATGTCCGGGTGCGCAAAAAAAAGGTCGCATTTGTTCCACTCCCAAAAATGCCTTTAACAAATTCCACTACCGTGAGCTTTTATAAATCTTTTTATAAATGAAAAGTTCACCAATTGATCTATGATTTGCTTCAAATAAATGTTTATTTAACACTTTTCGATCTTTTTACGCTAATCTTGGCTCATTTCCAAGAAAATTCGAGCCCAAAAACTCGTTTTGCGTAAAATTCGATAAAAGGTGGGAAAGGAATTGGCTTAAACGAATCGTTCTGAAAATTTGGCTATAAACCGAAATTTTTGTGCTCTTTCTTTTTTCTATTGACACCGAAATCGATTTCTTTGAACGAAAGTGTCTAAATCGCGTAATCGAGTCCTTTTTGACTAGCCGAGTTCGCATCTCAAAACAAAAAAACCAAAAGCAAAACATTTCTGAAGATTTCAATGATCTTTTTATAGAAAAATATCCGGCCTTTCTAATAAAGCAAACCTTAGATCAATAGGTCACTAGTTATTTCTAAATAGCTTTTTAAATTAAGTGTCCAAAGGCGGTCGACCTAATCGATCAATTCTTGTTTCGGCGTCGTGTTAGCACCCAATGTTAGCTCCATTATTAAAGTGCAAATTTTTGTATAAACAAAGAAAATAGTGAAGCTAACAAGAGTTGTTGTTGTTCCAAAAAAGTCTCAGGCTTGTTTCAAAAAGCCAAAAGTTATGGTTAATCAAGTCAAGGCGCAAAATCCAAGCATTGGATTTGTTTGATTAGAGAATCGTGGCTTTGAACAACTCTTGGCTTTAACAATGGGAAGATCAATGGATTCAAATCACATTTAAGACACGGTACTGACAATACCGTAATCTGTTTTTAGATCAAGATTCGTGATCATGCAAAAAAACACATCAGAAAAGTTGATGTTCTTGAAAAATCAACGATTAGAGTACGGGTTTTGTATTTTATTTTGAAATTTTCGAATCCTCAGGGTATCACAAAATTTTTCAAACACTAGCTATACGTTTTGTAAGTTCATTTTGATCAAAAATTTCCAAAAGATCTCACTTTTTGATCGACAAAATGATTAGAAGTCACAACATTTCAACAGCTTTTTATTGTGATCTCTATTCGAGTCCATTTTGGGAAATTTTGGGAAAATTTAACAATTCTCATAAATTCTACAAAGATCAGAAATTTTAATCGAAAACTCTCTAAATTTGGTTCCTTATCTCTCTAAATCTGGTTCCTTATCCCTAGGTTTGGTTCCTTATCTCTCTAGGAGTTTGGTTCCTTATCTCTCTAAGCTTGGTTCCCTATTTCTCTAAATTTGGTTCCTCATCTCTAGGAGTTTGGTTCCTTATCTCTCTAAGCTTGGTTCCTTGTTTCTCTAAATTTAGTTCCTTAACTCTTCAAATTTGAAACTTGCTTCCTCATTTCTCTAAACTTGGTTACTTATCTCTAGGAATTTGGTTCCTTATCTCTTAAAAAGAGTTCAAAATCCTGGTTTCTAGCATTCATGAGCTAATATATTTTTGAGTGATTGCATACTTTTTAAAATAAAACGCTTCATCGATTACATAGTTTTCCAAAATTTCAGAACAATCCAATCCTCGGAAGATTGATTTTCAAATTATCTCTCTAAGTTTGGTTCCTTATCTCTCTACCTTCAGCATCTCGAATGAATGAATGGAAGAAAGGAAAAAGTGAGAGTTCTTTGGCCGAGAAGAACAAACGATTCATTGTGCGCATAAACCAGACGAACGCCGAGCGGAAGGGCTTAAATTGATGTTGATTACTGTAGAAGTGTTTTAAAACTGTAATTTCCTCGATTTTTTAACACATTCACGATGTTGGATCGTACTAATGACGATTATTTTTGTGTGTCATTTTTTTAAGGATTTAGTTATTTATTTCGCAGAAAGTTCTTATGAACTTTATACGAGCTCTCAAGAGGAGATTCCGGGCTATCGAATGACTATAAAAGTTTAGTTTAACTCTGAATTTTCATCAAATTATTAGTAAAATAGTTAACGACCTAGTCTTCAAAACTTCAATTCTTTGACTTATTCAACTAATTCTTCAAAAAATGTGCAAATCCTGTCAAACAACGATTCTGACGAGAGGTTGGCATTTTTGAACTTCGAAGTACTATAAAAAGCGTCACACTGTGTTTCCTAAAAGCTAAAGCTAAAAGCTAATGCTAAAGCTAAAAGCTAAAGCTAAAGCTAAAAGCTAAAGCTAAAAGCTAAAGCTAAAAGCTAAAACTTAAAGCTAAAGCTAAAAGCTAAAAGCTAAAGCTAAAGCTAAAGCTAAAAGCTAAAAGCTAAAAGCTAAAACTTAAAATTAACCGCAGAAATTAACTTGAAATATTATATAAATATGAAATTAATTGAATTGAATAATTGGGTGTCAAGTTAGAGTTGAAAAACCGAATTTCCGCCACCTTGTAGTACTCAACCTACTAACTGACCCTCAATGTCGTGCTGGCCATTGACAACGGCCTTGGTCTCACGCATGTTGCTTGATGATCATAATAGATGTATCTAAAAAAGTATCATTTCAAGGTTTTTCATGATTGAGTACATCCATTAAAACGATCACATTCAAATAAGTTCGCCTTTTATTGAAAACTTGTAGCTTGTGCGAAAGGAAATGGGGAAAACTTGAATGTTTGATCAGTGAATTATATCGAAAATCCCGTACTTGAACTATTGAAAGTCTAGACAAACTATAAAACGAACTTTTTGTAAAATCCTTTATGAACTAAGAGTTCCATCGCCCTTTCAGCGACGCGATTGATGTGTGCGAAAAAGACACCGAGATGAGAGTCACCACCACGAAGGTCACTGTAAAGTTAAGATCAGTAAAGAATTTATTCTTTAGCTTTACTTAAATTCATTTAAAGATCACTTACACATAGGCATTCTTATACGAGGTGGCGTTATCATTACTGTAGACGACGTAGCCGTGCTCATCCAGTAGCACACACCAATGTTGCCAATCCTAAATTGGAATTAAGCTCTTTGAATTTGATTGTGCATTCACAGTTTGGGGTTTATTTCCTATTTATTATATAAATAGATGTCTTTTAGAAAACAGATTTTAAAATGCGTTTTCTAAAGCATAAAGAAAACTGCAATTTTTTAGGATTTGTTCTATTGGGTTGGTGAATTGAAAACTGCGGGACTTTGAACTAAAACTTATTCAACATAAAACCATGAATTCATTCCAAATAATTTCCATTATTATTGACGACTTCTGCCCATTTTACAGGCAATTTGCGGATTCCTTTTTCGTAGTAGGATTTTGGTTTGTGTGAGACAAGTGTGAGACTCAAAAATCGAGGACTGGAGATGTCCCAGTTTGAGCACTTTCTTCAAAAGAAACCCATTTTGGTGTCAATAGAAAAGTTGTAGAGAATCAAAAATTAGGCTTATAGCCAAATTTCCAAAAAGATACACTTAGTAGTTTCGCTTAAAATGCAAGTTTTGTGAAAATTCGTAAATTTGGCATTTCTAGAAAACCAGTTTTTGAATCGTTCTGAAAATTTGGATATAAGCTTGATTTTTGATTCTCTACAAATTTTCCATTGACACCAAAATGGGTTTCTTTTGAATAAAGTGCTCAAACTGTCCCAGATGACAATAGCCCGCAGTTTTCAATTCACCGACCCAATAGAAAACAGATTTTAAAATGTGTTTTCTAAAAGATTTCTAAAAGATTTAAAAGATAAAGAAAACTGCAATTTTTTAGCGTAGGATTTATTCTATAATAAAATGTGATGTCCAATTGATAGCTTTGCTTTGAAAAACAAAGTGAACATTTCAACAAAAAAGTGAACTTTTCCCTTAACTTAAGACTTAAAGTTCTATTTTTAATCTCTTAATAACTAATGTCTCTAAATCGATCAGCTTTCAAAGGAAAATTTTTCGTTAAACTATCAGATTCTGGGCTTTTTTTTAAAGTTTCTAAGTTGTTATGATAGTTTTAGATGAATAAACTGTTTTAGAACTTTTTAGATACACTTATCTTCTCAACTATTATCAACTACAAAAGCAAACGAACCGATGGTGGACATCCATGATTCGTCATTGTATTCACGAGCCAATCCATTCCAAACTCCAATCCCGCCACTCCCAAAAGGGCATCTTCCTAAAATTTTTTGCATTTTCGGAAAAAAAACCTTTATGTTTAGCAAAAAATATAGCAATGGGTATAAATAAAAAAATTTTCTATAATCAGGAAAATTTCCAAAAAAGCAGCTGAGGTCGAAAATTTTTTGCAGCAGCTGGTGAGAAATTGAAAAACGATTAGACAAAAGCCTTTGGGTTTTAACAAATTTTTGGTGTTAGCAAAATGAAATCGGATTTTCGACAACGATGAGCTTGGATGTGGAAAATGGAGGTAGGCTGGTGGGGGGTTTTTTTTCTCTTTTTCGATTTACCATCACTTCTCGACCACCAACATCCAGACGGGGTGCAATCTTGACAGACAAAAAGATTTGAAATGTGAAAGTTTTGAAGGTTTAAGAAAAGGAGTGTGAAAGAGATGGGCTTTTGCTCTTTACTGTTACTACTCTGATGCTCGGGCATCGTGATCAGAAAGATCAGGAAGATGTAAGGTCAGAAAGGTCAAGAAAACGTGATCTGAATTCTGAAGCTGGCCAGAAGACAGGGTTCTGGTCAGGTTCAGAATTCATGACCAGAAGCCAGCTCTCAGATTGTGGTATGGTTTTAGTCCTGACCTGGACTCGCTAAAAGTTAGACCTGACCCAGCTAGGGCTGATCCACCAGTAGGTAAACCTAGGGAAATCTTGGTATAGTCTAGCTTCTGGAACCAGGACTGATCAGCAAAATTTAGTTCTAACTTGTAGCTTGGCCCTGTCCTTATATTATATAATTTGAGCTTTAAATTTATAATCCTTTTTCGTTCAAAGATACTGGCTGTATTGTTATAATATTATCACTAGTAGCATTCTTCAATCATGAGAAGGATTCAAGCTTAGCTTCTGAGCTAAGCTTGATCTTTTTGCCTTAAACTATCGGTCATTAGTTAAATGGAAACTTCTATCTAAAATAAAATTGTGAAAGATGATCAATTTTCGAGAAAATGAAGTAAAAAAACGTTTAAAATGAGCCCACTTTATAGATGGCTTTGGTCGCCTGTCCAAGCAGCGTCACATTCTCCAGATTCCCGTACGCCGATCGAGTTTCACCAACTGGATACCACAACTTTGCTAAAACATTAAAAAAAAATAGATGATAGCAATAGCTAGTTTTCACTTTGATTGTTGATATCGAAGACGATTTTGTCCTTTTGTCGAATCGATCTTCGAAAGTATCGATCATCGACCGATTTTCGATTATTATCCGTGATGAAGTGTTGGTATTGTCTAAAGAAATTAAACCTAGAGTAATTAAATCAAATATTTGCTTACTCTTGAAATTTCAAATCTTCTGGTCGCAAGTTTTTCCCATGTGACATCGAGATGATATTCCACATGTTGTAGTCTTTTTCGTCGTATTTGAATTCAGTCAGAGTGAAATTGTAGTAGCGAATGAGGCCGGATTGGGTGGCGAAAAAGGTGAGGTGGATGAGATTTCTGAAAGATATTGCATTGAATGGTGAAATTGAATGAGCAATAAAGATATACGGTATCGTTTTGGCCAAATATTTAGTATCAACAACATACAAGGGCTTGAGTTGAAAGTGTCAAGTCCAAAAAAGTATCTCATATGCTCAGTTCAAATCTCAAAAAGTGTCCAAGAGTTGGCTATTCCAAAAGTTGTTGTTAAGCCTAAACCAAGTTAAACAAGCCTAGGCCAGGGTCGGATCAAAAGCCCGACCCAGAAAAGTCTCTAGGCCTACCGTTTTTAACTAGACATGGGAAAATTCCAACCCGAACCTAATTCTACCTTCGTTCTCTCAGCCGTCTCTTGGTCAATTGTTCTGAAATTTTGTTTACAAATAGAAATCGCCATTCTCTGCTTGTAGACAAAATTTCAGAACAATCGGCCAAGAGACGGCTAAGCTAACGAAGGTGGAATTAGGCACGGGTTGGAATTTCCCCATGTCTAGTTTTAACCGCTCTGACTCTCTAAAGCAGAGTATTTTTGCACTCAAGTACCCTAAAAACGCACTCTCAAGCTCGTATCTTAAATTTTTACAGTATATTTATCTTCTCAAACAACCCACTCTCTCATAAAAGTATTTTGATCATCCCAGCGTGCGTAGAGTGGATGAGTCGCCTCCAAGTCCAATATCAAGCGATCGACGAGAGACTGGAAAGAGAAAAGGTTGTCTGATTAAATTTCTTGTCTAGAATTTCTTTCCAAGCATTGTACTATTGTAGTATTGATCGATTGATGACCAAAAAAATGTCAGCTTTCAGACCTGTCTCGGTTTACAGAGCTCTGGCAATTTTCCGGTCTTGATCATCTGTTTGAGATAGACTCTGAACGCTTCTTCCTTGCTAATCCCAGCATCGGTGTCATTTAGAAGACAATAGCGCCTAGATTTTAGTCTCTTTGAATTCTTTAGACTTTCAACTCACCAAGTTGGATGAATATGCCAACTGCCGCTTTCAATCCATCCCAGCTGCACTTTTCCATAATCGTACATGTGCGTCTCACGGTGAATTCGATAATCGTCCCCTGAATTTGACTGTAAATGTTGTCTTTTTTGAAATCTTACCTTTAGCAATCGCCAATCCAAGGATGAAATCGGATCCTTTGATGCATTCCGAATAGTAAGTATTCGTTTGTGGATAGATTCGATCCTAAGTATGAGATTGTGACAAGAACAGAGCAGGAGTTTCAAAGTCAGAAAGTATTTAGTGTACTAGTCTAAGATTTAAGGCTAGATCCGAGCTATAGAACAGATTAGGTTAGGAGCAGGGAAACCAAAAGACCAAACCAAATCTCCAAGACTAGGCTCATTTTAGGTCCGGTTCTGGCTTTGGATGGCCTGATCTTGGTCTTGAAAATTTTATAGACCAGTCAGGGCCAGCTCTAAGCAGGTCTAAGATCGTGTTCCAAGCTTTGTCCAGATTTTTGCCGTAACTTAAAATTGTTAGGCCCGCAAACTCTTTCTGACTCTGACTTGGCACTTTTTTGAACATCCTGAGAAACTTACCACTAAATCCGAAGCAAATAAAATATCCAGTGTTGGCGGTTTTCCATTGTCACAGTTGAGGACGAGATGGTGCATCTGGAAATTTGTGGCTACTTGAAAATTGTTGGCGACATTTGGAAAGCTTTCTTGGTTAGCTAAAGTGACAACCAAGTTTTGTTAGATTGACAAAAGCAGACAAAACTGATAGTTTTTCGAAATTCAACGAAAAATTCTAACCCATGACCCTTGCAAGCAAAGAAAGATCGACGAATTTTAGTCTTTTTTGTTTTAGGGAATTTTTTTGAAGCTGAAACACTCTATGAAAAGCAGACAAGAGTTTTAAATTGATCAGTGTTAGTGTCAGATAAGTCAACAATGCTTACAACAATGCATAAAGTTACAGGCCAACTCAAACCAGGGTCAAGATTAGTTCAGAAGTCAGGAGCTGGCCCAATCTGATTCATTAAAAAGTCTCTAGGGGTCAAAAGCCAGGTTGAACCTGACTTCTTTACGGCTCTAATCGGGTTCAAGCATAGGCTTACAGACTTGAGTGCCAATTTGAACAGTGTCTCATTGTGGTATGCAAAAACTATTTAAAGCTAATCTTTTCTTTATTCAATCAAGACCGTAGTGTTTTAGGATTCTTTAGGAAAACAGATTATAGCCGGCCACTAATAGTGAGAAATTAGCTAGAATTAGAATTGTTAGCTTGATCAATCATTAGAACAAACACTGAAATTCTTTAGATATTCTTGAATTCCCCAACAAGCAACACCAAACAGTTTGACTAGGTCGACAACATTTGAAAGTAAAGATAGAGAGCTGAAAACTTAAAACAAAAAGCTCGATTCAAAGAGTACAAGCACACCAATAGAAAGCGATAGATCGAGGCAGCAAAGCTTCTCTTTTCCATTCTCCCACAACTCTTTTCTCATCTCACATTATGTCTGAATTGTCGAATACACTCCAAATATGTGCTTCCTTCTTGACAATATGGTCGTTGTTGCTGTGATTGTTGCATCGACTGATACACGTCACGGGGATAGTCGAATGCCTTGAGTGAGAGAGTGTGAAATGTGAGTGAGATTTGTAAAGGGATTCAGTGTGACTTTGGGGAATTTGAATGTGCTGTTTTTGCAGTGGAAACGAAATCGACTTGCCTACTTTATGTTTTGAGCCGTAAACTTGTTTCTAGTCTTACTATTAGTAGAGTGTGTTCCTTCCGAGTAAATAATTACTCGAGTAAAATTTGAATGAGTAATTTTTACTCGATTAATCGACGTTTTTCGCCGAGTAACTACGAGTAATCCTCTTTACACACTGAGTAAACTGAATATATTTACATTTGAAGAGAATTTGCCACCAAATCAGTTAAACAATTGAATCTCTTTAAAAGAAATCGTATATAAATCAGCGCTCGTGATTTTTTGCAATAATGTTCGCCAAAAGTACGGTAACTTTTCCCAAGTTTGCGTTTTAAAATTGTAAAAGTTTTAAAAAACGTATTACTTGCGAGAAACACACTCTAACTATTAGAGCCCTCGAAACTCCGTGCGAAATTTTGGATTGTGACCATTTTGAGAATGATAGATTCAAGTTAAACTCTTTAGAATTACCATGTTTCTTCGAATACCAGGGTTGCCTTGATAGGAATTTGTACTTGTCTTGAGCCCAATGACACTGTGTGTTTGACTCAAATCAGGCTAAGACTCAAGTATTCGAAGAAACATGGTAATTCTAAAGAGTTTAACTTGAATCTATCATTCTCAAAATGGTCACAATCCAAAATTTCGCACGGAGTTTCGAGGGCTCTAATAGTTAGAGTGTGTTTCTCGCAAGTAATACGTTTTTTAAAACTTTTACAATTTTAAAACGCAAACTTGGGAAAAGTTACCTCTAAGTGCCCAAGTCTAAGTCCCAAGTTACAATCAAGGCAACCCAAGTTGGCTTAAAAGCGTTTTTCGAGTTTAGCTTAAAATTGAGAATGTTCTTTACATTTAGCTGATTTTCCACAATTTAGCTGATTTGCTTAAAGTTAAAGCGCTGTTTCGAAATTGTTAAATTAATTAATGAACAGATGCAGCAAAAATCACTTGTTAAGTGTTAAATCAAAATGCAACTTTTGTAATTTTTAAACCAATACAAAAGCCAAACCTTTTTCTGTGGTAAGTTCTTTTATAAACTGCAAATTTCCAAAAGAGGTGATGAATTTTTTTCCAGAAAAACAAGCAAAAAAAAAACTCAAAGACTTAACCAGTGCATTGAAAGCCAAAATCTTTCTTGTTATCAAAATGATTTGTTAGAGCCAAGTCAAATCAAGCTTAAATCCTTGTGTTATTCATGTCAAACCAAATCAATTTAAAGATTTAATCAAACCAACCATTGAGTTTTGGCCGACTTCCAACTCGAGCAGCTCCATATTGTTGTAGTTTTGCTTGTGCAATTTCGTGATCATGTCCTAGAACAAGATGTACAAAATTGATGCAAAATTGACTTACAATTGGTCTCAATTGTGGATGGAACATGATGAAACCATTGTAATCGAGCATGAAGTAGTAACTGGTGCCACCGATCTGCAAAGTTTTGTATATAAAAGTGAGATGTCAATCGTGAAAATATTATCCAATCCTTTCACTCAACTATTTGTTTCGCCTGGCTATGAATACATGTAATCGTGCGTAAAAAATGAATGCAGGATGAAAAAGATTAACTCTATCAGGGTCATGGGCAGGGACAGGCCAAAGGCAAAGCCAAAATTCAGGTTCTAGGCTGGGTTTGGCTTTATTGCGGGTCTGGCTAAAGCCCCTGGATCCACCTGGGCCTGACGTTCATGTAAGCCTTACTGCAGGCACTAGGATACGACTTTATCATCCTCGAACTTCACATAAACAACATGTTTACATCAGTATAAGTCTTATAAACAGTCTCATAAGCAAAATGTTTGCTCTTTTGTCTAAAGAAGCTTAGCAAAGCCAAGTGATCAGAGATCTGTTCCATAATTTCAACCCAGTACATCCGGTTAAGAATACAGTCGACTCTCGATTTAACGATTTGCTCGAGACTAAAAATTTCGATTTAACGACTCTAAAAAGTGCCTCAGATTTCTTGCGTGGCTGCCCTGAAAGGCCAACGATTGCGTTTGGCTGAGCAGCTACGCAGAAACCAAGGACGTGTATCAGAATTTCAAAATTGTTGTATCGAGAGTCGACCGTATATAAGTTCGCGCAACTCACCTCGGTTGGATGAGCCAGCTGTCCAAGTTCGGTCAACGGGATATTCACCGCAGCCACTCCCATAAATGTCCGGTTGAGAATGACCGGATAGGAGACCGTTGTCACGAACATTCTCCCCCGAGCCTCTGCTTGTTTGATTTGCACTTTCTGAATGGGATTTTATAAGCTGCCATCTTTTCTATAACTTACCCTTTTTGCAGCCATTTTGTTCATTTGAGCAAACTGAAAATTTGAAATATATTTTGGTTGAAGGTAGAAATAGCAAATCAATCTTTCATTCCCGCCATTCAAATCTGCTTTTTTTTCTGAATCTCAATCTACATTAGTCGAGCTGATTTTTCCTCAGACTTTGTTCTCATAAAACTTTTTCCAGAATTTAGTTGATTGAAAATTAATGAACCCGAAATATTTCTGCGTCTAATGATGCATTTTTGAGGATATTTCTCAAAAAATGTCAAATTTTTAGCCAAGATCGACTTTTCGAACAATTTTTCAGCACCAGAGTTCCATTTCAACGGATAATGTATTCAAATCCGGTACTAGCTTTGCCTTTTCAAAAAGAATTTTCAGCCTAATTCTCATATAACCCACCGCAAACACTGTAATAGTACCCCACCCCCATAATGAGGGTGCGGAGTGTTGCGTAGTCTAGCTTTGAACGAGTTTTTCTCAACACTGGTTCATGTTACAATGAGCGCTTAGTTATCAAAAAATAGCTAAAATTCAGGGCTATTTTTTCATAGCAAAGATACATTTTTTGAAAGTACGAGCGCTTTGAAAAAAATTAAATACTAAAAAACTTTTGCGACTACGCGGCTGTACGGGGGGGGGGCACTATTACAGTATTTAGGGTAATAACATGTTGCAAAACTGACTAGCTCTAAAATAAACAGCCTTAGTTGGGAACTTTGGCGCATCCCCCATACAGTCCGGACGTTGCCCCTTCTGATTACTATTTATTCCGGATCATGAGTAATGAGCTTGCGGGAGAATACTTCGATTCGAAAGAAGCAGTCAAAAATTGGCTCCAAAAGTTCTTCGATTCAAAACTAAAATCCTACCACGAAAGAGGAATCCGCAAAATGCCTGTAAAATGGGCAGAAGTCGTCAACAATAATGGGAATTATTTGGAATGAATTTATGGTTTTATGTCGAATAAATTTTAGTTCAAAGTCCGGCAGTTTTCAATTCACCAACAAAATAGAAATATTTTCAAAATTACAGTATTTACGGGAGGTGTGTTGTACTGATTGTGTTAATAGTCGAATTACGGTCAAATTTGCTCAAATTAGCATCACTAGACGCAAAAAGTATTTCCAACTTTTGCTAAACTGAAATCAAATCAAATAATGTTTCTGGAAAAAGTTATATGGGTGACAAAAGTAGATATGAATACGGAAAATACGGAAAATACCTCTTTAACATGTAAGCTCATGCTAATCTTTCAATCTTTCAATCTTTCGAATCGTTCTGTTTCTTTAAAGTTGTAGCTTTCTGACTCAAAATTGAATCACAAATGCTACAGTACTGGACAATGAAATATCATATTTGAAAAACGATCGTCACTTTCGCGCGTCTGTAACTCCCTTGTATTTGAGTTTAAACTATTAGTGTTATACATTTTCTGAAAGCTCTTTTCAAGGGCTACACAATGGTAATATTAATATTTAGAAATACGGTAAAGACAAGAGAGTTACAGACGCGCGAAAGTGACGATCTTTTTTCAAATATGATATTTCATTGTCCAGTAGTGTACATCTTTTCTTGTTGAATTAATATTTTTCAACACTTTCACTTTTCGGGCAATCGTGAGATGCAAAGGCAATCGACAAGAGATTTCTCCAAAAATATCTTACCATCGCACTTGCCGACATTTTTTGCAATTGCATTTTAGCTTGAGTCTTTAGAAAAATGAAAGATAAAATAAGATTTTAAAATAAAAATCAACAAAACTGCGAACCGATTGATTAGTGACGGGCATTGGGTCGGCGAAACGCTCACGGCGAGGTAGATACTGAAAAAGTAAGAAGAGGTAAGAAAAATTGAGGTCTTAAAAACATCATGATCAATAGCTGACTGAAATTGCTAACATTTTAAAATGTATCTTGCAAATAATGAGATAATGTTAATGCTCGTCATCCATTCAACTATGAATTTATACTGTGCGATGACAGATAATTTTCCGACAGACAAAGGTCAAGTCAGGCCATGCCAAAAGCCAGGCCTACATTTGGCTTCTGGTCTTGTCTTCCAAGACCTGTCCGGCTTTTGCCTGGTTCACAAATAGCTAGAAACGTGAATTCCTGCCCAAATGTCTACTCAAATTTTGAACAAAGCTCAAATAACTTTTCGTTAATCCCAACAAACATTGTTGCTAATGCTTGTTTGCTTTTGCTAACAAACAAACATTGTTGCTAATCCATTCAACTATGAATTTCCCAGACTCACCAATCTCTCTCGATACACACCACTCCATATTTGACTCGTCTCATCAATCGTGTCCTGATGAATTCCCAGCGGTCGTGACATCACTCGTATGTAATTCTAAAGAATCGATCTCTCTAAGATTTCAAGCGTCCTTTTGAATTTAGCTTTAGCAAAAGTGCACCTGTATCTTTTCTTCAACATCGGCCATATTTTGTATGTGCACCATGTAGCCTCGGTTCTGGCAAGCCATATGACGAACCTAGATTGTAAATTGATAATCTTAGATAAAGATTTATACCTGCTCAAAGTCCAGAGCCTCTTCGCCAATCAAAAACGTGAAAACTCGGATCTGAAATGGGAATTTATTATTGGAAAGCTCAGTACAAGGCTGACATTTTATCCAATCGGATCGGTTTTGGATTGATCCAATCTACTCTTTTATATCGAATATTTTCTTCTACCAAGCTTTCTTCTTTATATATGAAGGCTGCTAATGTGTTCTTTTATAGTATTAGAAGAGATACCTTTTTTTCAGCATTGTACTCTCGAAATTTGTTATGAAAATCCTCAGGCGATCCGTCGGTGATCAACATGATCACACTCTCACATCCATATTCTTTGTCCAATTTCGTTGAGCCATTCATCTAAAAACAAGCGTTTCCTTGGGGAAATGAGAACATTCGATATCATTAAACATTAAAGTTTAAGAATATTCGAATGCTCGATCTTTTCAAATCTAGTCACGACTTTAAAACTCTCAAAAACCAAAAGCAATGAGAAGAACGGGAAATGAAAGCACAGGACAACAGACAGTTTTTGAGGAGAGCAATTGAATGTATCTTTGCAAAAACGGTGTCAAGCTATATTTGAACGGCTTTCTAAAAGATTAGAGAAGCTACAGTGCTCCTCTACATTTTTATTTGAAAAAAACAACTTGAATGCGGTCACTTTTCTCTAGCAAGTTTAGAATTCACTCTTTTAGAAAACGATTGAATTCGATTTAAGTCTTTAGAAAAGAATTTACTCAATGATAATCTTGATAATGTTTTTGCAAAATAATCCTAAATGGAGATTGAAGCCACAAGGAACATAGGAAACAACTAATACATGCAAGTACAAGGTTGAAGCGCAGAAGTCGAACTGGTCCCGATTGAAAACAAAGGAATACCCACGATACAACAAGCAAAGCTTTAAGTTTAAAGTTTAAGCAGTACAAATGCATGCAAAGCTATTGATATTTTGATAGTTGAATGTCACTTTTCCAATTTTTTTTCAAATAAAATTCAAATTTAGTTTTTGCTGACTGCTGGCTGACTTGCTTTTCTAAAAAAATGGGTATATAATTTGGAAAACTACCGTAATATTTCTTTCAGCTTTTTTCCAAGTTAGTTTTGATCGATTCAATGAGGAATTAAACTGAATTGAATGAAATCAAAATAAGTAGAAAAGGCGAAATCTGAAGGTAAGATTACGGTCGCTTTTCACCATTTAGAAAATGAATTGCTCGTACTTTTAAAGCGACAAATACTCAATTACTGAATGAGTATTTAATTTTGAATATCATATTCAATTTTACAGTGACATTCAAAAACCAAAATCCAAACCAAACAGACAACGAAGTACAGCCATCAAGACGAGGAAACACGACGACGACAAGCGGGAAAAGCCTTCACAGATCCTTTTTCTCATCCACCCACAGCATTGATATATTCGTGTGAAACGATGAGTAGATGTTCGGGCCATTCAATGATATGTTTGCCCTCGAGAGTGAAATTTCTGGCTGATGCTTCCACTTCATCTTTATGCATCCATTCGATGTCTCTGGGAAGCTAGAAAGCGGACACGATTAAAGCTGACCCTTGAGGAAGGGTTTAGACTTGAACTGAAGGTTTTTAATAGGATTGATATTGAGGCCAGCATGGAGTATTCTTTGATCAGATTTAGTGGCTTTTTGGCGTAAAATTATTTATGTCTTTGGCTATAATTTGCATCCAAATACCTCTTCTACTTCAGTTTTGCCCCATTTAACTCTAACTTGTCTACAAGTTTACTTCAATTATTGAAAGACTTTTCAAGACTAAGTTCCGAAATTGAGTAATCGGAAAATTTCAAAAAGACTATTGCTAGTGTTATATTGTTTTGAATCCATGAATATCCAGTTATATCCCAATCGTTTGCATATCATAAGTAGCTAGACTATTTTAAAACGAATCTTCTGTTTGGGTTATAGCTTCAGAACAAGCTAGCCTAGACAGCCTAATAAAGTTGATAGAATCTCTATATTGATCATAGAATCTCTATATTGATCAATCAAGTCCATATCAATAACCTAAAAAGCCACTAAAACGATCAAAAAAAGTCACTCCAGACTTTTCTCAAATAAAAATTTGCGAAAACTTCGACTAAATTCTTCAGTTCAAGTCTTGCAACATAAAGTCGAGCCTAACAAATTGCTTGCTTTTCTCAAAGCAACAAAGTACAGCTAAAAACATTTGGAATAGATTTTTGTGATAAAATTTTGCAACAAAGGATTGAAGCACACATAATTTCGGCAAAATTGAACCGTTTTTTTCATAAGCGACAGAGCTAAACAATAAGCGATATTGAACAATTCGTGGACAAAAGGCAGAGAATGGTTTTAAGCATTAAAATTAGATGATTGGATATAAGATATGCAATCTAATCTTGAGTCTAAAAGATAAAACTTTGTTTGAAATATTCAGCCTACCCCTAGCAGAGTGGCAAAAGCCTTTTCAAGGGCTTTCTCGTATTCGGCTTTCCCCTCGGATGAAATATTGTTCATCAAACCGCGAAGATATCTAAAATTAAATATGTTAATTTCAAATCTACTAGAGAAACACGCGTTGTACTGGGGGTGGGACAAATGCGACCTTTTTTTTGCTGGAAAAGGCCTTAGGAAAGGTCGTAGAGCTTCAAAAATGTTTTCATATAAGGGAATCGTATGCGTAGATTCCGAATCTCGACAAATCAGACCTCGCTGACACGTCAAATTTGGGCTAAAAGGCAAAAACTGCGGAAAAGCGTTAAGTTGCGTAGTTTTTGCCTTTTAGCCCAAATTTGACGTGTCAGCGAGGTCTGATTTGTCGAAATTCGGAATCTACGCATACGATTCCCTTATATGAAAATATTTTCGAAGCTCTACGGCTTTGCCTAAGGCCTTTTCCAGCAAAAAAAAAGGTGCGCAAAAAAAGGTAGCATTTGTCCCACCTCCGTTATACTTAATTTTAAAAAGATACCGTAACTGTTAGTAATCCTATATTTTCAAGCTGAAGTACTCTTTAAAGTCTGTATCAAGCTGTTATTATAAAACGGCCTTTACTGCTCCAGTAAGTTAAGTAAAAGTCTACTGTTATTGAAGTTTCTATAAGTTTCTTACCAAAAATCTATAATAGCTTCTCTATCTAAAATCTATGGAGGTATTTTAAGTCCTTGAGTGTCTATTTGAAAAACATTCGTCTTACTTTTTGTTCCTCATCGTCGCTTGAAGCATCGGGTGTTGCTGTGAGCACTCTTCGTCCAAGAAGTTGGCTTCTTTTGAGAACTAAAACATAGTGATCAGATGAAACTTCAAGTAACTGCCCGGAAAATGTTGACGTACCGGCAGAATGTTGAAGAAATCATTGTGCGAGAGGGTTTCCAGAATGGCTTCGGTGGTCTGTTTGGCGATTTCATATCTAAAATTTTATTTATTAAAGCTATAAAACTCGTAAAATCAGTTAGAGTTTCAAATTTTCGCAAATCTTCAAAGACTGACCTCTGGCCGAGCATCGATCCACTCATGTCCAACATGATGAGCACATTCTTTGAACAAGTCGCTCCATTTATGTACCTGGAATTTTTCATTTAAATAATTTCATTTTGACATACAAATTTAGGCATTTAAAAACAAAATTTGAACCAACCATTCACTATTCCGACAATCGAAAAGATCAAGAGTGTCCTTGTCAGTCTCGTGATCCCAAAACCATGGGGCAGCTGGAAAATTAGTAAATAATGATGTATAAAACAGAAAAAAAATTTCAGCTACACTACTATTTTTCTATCATCAACCTGGAAAATATCTCATGAATCCAGATTCAGAGCAGAACAATTGAAAAGCCAAATCCCTTGTTCCTTCTCGATTACTCCGATAGACTTGATCGATATTTGACCAATCGATTTTGTTCAAGAGCTCCGGATCTGAAACAGTGACAAGATTTAAGACTTCTTGTGATTATGTTACCTCTATCATAGACTGGTGTCGGGATGTGAACAGCTGAAGCAATTGATGAAGTTCGTAAGAAATAGAAATTCGCGTTCGATTGCATGGTGAAGTTTCTAAAGGAGATTTTTTAGGTATTGTTTTTGTTAAGTTTTGTTGTTTTTTTTTGTTTTTGTTAAGTTTTTGTTAACCAGTAAAGGTTTATTAACTATAAAATCAGTAAAGGTTAAATTAAAGGTATTCCGAGTGTCAAAATAAGTACACTTTAATTGAATCGGTCTATTTTTACTAGAACAGAGTGCTTTTCTCGAACTTTTCCTAAAGAATGTCAACTTTCGAAAGCTACCGTAATCTGGTTTCATTGTTGACAGTTTTCAGAGGATTATTTTTAAACCTTTATAGATCAAGCCAGATATATTGGATGGTAGCAAGATTACTATAGCTTTCAAAAGTTTGTCAGCTCCGAGCCAAATTGATATTTTAGTTACTATTGTTATTATTGAATGATTTGTCTATTCTTATGCAAATGTGTTCTCCCCTGTGCTTATCCCTTGGATTGTCGAGAAGGGGCGGTCTTGGGATTGCCTAGGAGGACAAGTGAGACTCCAATTTGGAGTCCCCCCTTCCCCTTACACTCATTGGTAATCTATTCGTCTTATTGTACTACTGTAAATAAAGATACATATCTATGCAACTGCAGTACAGGTCGGCCATTTCACAGGGACTCCCCTCTAATACGTTGGAGGAGTTGAGTTGGGTTGTCGGGGTGTTAGAGATGGCGGGATATCAAAAGGGATCCACTCTCTTTAACTTAACCCAAATTCTAGTCCACATCTGTTTATACCTAGGAACGAATAATACCATTACACTTAACTCATCGAGTTCTGTCAAAAGTAGCCTTGAATTCACCGAATTTTAGTACAGTCGACGTTCGATTTAATGAACTCAGAACTTTTCACTATAAACTAAATCACACTTAATCACATCACAGTTTTACACTCGATGAAATGGGTCGATTGGTGGCACACTTAATTCTTTCTTTTTTACACAACAACGTTTGGTGTCTGGTAAAAAAATTCAAAAGGGATCCACTCTGTTTAACTTAACCTTAACCCCTCTTGAACTTAACCTTAACTAGTCCATATCCGTTTACACCTAGCAACGAATAAATTGCTGTTTTTCGATGTTAAACGAATTGATTTAATCCGTTTTACACCTAATTTCCATTACTTTATTTTTCGATTTTCTATTACTTTCTATCAAGTATAATAGATCTCACTTGGTCGAGTTGAGCGCCATTTTGTTGCTGAACGAGTGATCGTGTCGATAAAGAGCGCCTCCATCACCGCCTGTCTTTGCGCTCATGTATCGGATGAAGTTTTTCGATTCCGGATTGTTTACCTAAACTTGTTTACAAATATATGCATTTTTACATTTGTATCTAATAAATTTGGTACTTTTCCAATATCGGGGGAGCGAAAGGAAAATCGGGGGAGCAAATTTTGCCCCCTCGAAAAATGCATTTCCGGGACTGTATTTTAACTACAACGTTTTTTTTTTTCAAACTTTAACGACGATGCGCCTTCTCCGATATTTGTGCGTTCAAGGAATCGACGGCAATCCATTATTTCGTCACCAAAGGAGTCATCCAGTCGTGGATTTGCAATTGTGGCGAATCGATGAAAGTCCGCTCAAAGGGAAAAGATCTATTTCGCTGGGTGTTAGATATTTAAGTCACTTTTGTGATCTAATATAAAGGTTGTGAGAATAACGGGTAATTCGCGGATTTCGCGGATCGCGGTAGTTTGTATAATCTAGGACATATGTAGCGCTGCCAAAGCTCTCCCGAGTTTCCTTTCACTCCCCCCGATAATCCTTCCGCTCCCCCGATATTGGAAAAGAACCATAAATTTTTATCTAATATATTAACAGAAATGATTCTAAAAGCTTTTAAAAGAAAAAAAGATTCCCAAAAACCCAAACCCACATCATCATCAGTTCCATTTCCGATCTCTCTCGATTCCAGCGATAACTTTGCATCCTAAATTTTCAATAAAGTTAGACGCTTTCTAATGTTTTAAAATTTAAATCCAAGATCAACTCACATAAGCAAATTTTGCCCTTCTCGCCAAATATTTCTCAATGGTGTGCTTCGCCTTTTTCAGCTCTTTTCGCGGATCATACTGCTCGACTTGAACGAAGCCATCGTAATACTAAAAGATTCGAATATAATATAGCTATTTTATGCTAAATTTTACCGTTGGTATCTTCTCAGCGCCGGTGGCTAGATTGAACGTTTCGAGGAGATTCTCGCCGAGCACCCGAGCACAGTCCTCGATGCTAAAAAGGGACAGTAGATTTAAAAAAATTCATAAATATTTCTAAAAATTTAAAAACCAACTTGTTTTTGTCAAAAGTGGATCCAATTGTGAGAAATGGAAAGAATCCAAATATCCGCCATAAATTTGGCGGTCGCATTTCTGCGTGCCCCCAGTGATGAAAGTGGGGCTACGTTCTGCAAAGTGATTGTAAAAAAACAAAGAATGATTTGGAAAAACACTCAAGTTTTAGAAAAAAAAGGAAAATAATCTTTTCATTCAGCCAGGATCCAAAAACTGAATGCAAAAAGTAAAAAAAAGTGGCAAAAAAAGCCGATTTTTTCATTTTTCAATAATTTTTTCATTTTTTTCTAAGCTCTGGTTAATGCTAAAAATATGTGTTATATATCAAAAAATCACCCATCCTCTCTACTTTAATTTGATACCCAAGCGCGCAGAAACAAACGTACTAGTGTCGAGAAATGAGCGTTTGTTTAAGAGAAAACTTAGCCTATAGACACTCCTATATGGGGGTGCTTCTATTAGAATATTTACGGAAAGTCACAATCAATTTGAAACTCAAATCAATGAGTTAAAAAGGTAGCACTGGCAATAATTGGTTAAAGTCAATCTCTGGAGTGCATATTCGAGATAGAAAAAAAATAAATGAGCGGCAGAGAATTGAAAATATCGATGCGTTAAAAAGCAAGCTGGTAATAAGTCGTTCGTTCTTGTTAATTCGGACGCTAAAAATCGATAAGTTGCCTAAAAAGTTTGCATAAATGAATAAAAGTTACGTTGATGTGAGTAAGACAAAAGTAGAGAAAGATAAAAGTAATCTTTCAAGAATGTTAAGAAATCTTTCAAGAATGACATTTAGGCTAAAGAAAAACGACTATAACGTTAAAAATGAGATTGCAAGTCAATCTAGTCAAGTTAGTAAGTCAATAAAACGTCTAAAAACGGGCAGACAAAGTCATGAAATGAGTACATATTTGGAATGTGGAGAGAAAGTAGAAAGGGGGGAAGACAAAGGTACAATCTTTCGATATGCTAAGCGATGTGGAGGGGAAATGGAGGGAAAATGGAGGGAAAGGAGAGGAAAAAGCTGCCTGGAGGGGAGAAGAAAAAGAAGTCGAGAAGAAGAGAATTGGAAGGGAGGCATCGACTCGGGTGGGGACTGCCCTGGACCCCTGCCCCAGTCACTCCCACCTCTACCCCTCCCCCTTCGAGATGGGCACAGAGAAAAGACCTAGGACTCACCCGCAAAAAGAGATCTGCCCGCCGAGGAGAAGAAAAAGCTCGATGAGTGCCTCTTTTTTCTCTCTTTTCACCACATCCATCTTCTTTTTGCGCTTCGCCTGAGGCTTTCCCCAATTCAAACCATATTTCCCCACCAATTCTTGTTCTTTTAGCCATGCTATTTCTTCAGCTAGCTCCGGAATTCTCTTGGTTCTTTGATATTTATGGGTTTCTCCTCAGCTCACTGCTTCCTATTGATCCCTCGCTGAGCCCGCCGGGGGCTTTCCCCTTTTGCAAAATATAGAGAATTAGAGAGGCTGTCCTTTTCACGTCTTTTTTTTTCTATAATCTGCTCCTTTTTCAGTTCTATTCTCCGTTTTCTTTTCTTCAATTTGTCCATCTGTGCTTGGATGTTCGGTTCTGGTGTACGAATGGAAAAGAATTTGAAAGTCAAAACCTTTTTGCGGTTACAACCTTCTGACTGATGGACAACTAATTGATGGGGAATTTCACTGGAAAGATTTTTCCGAATGTTTTTGAATCTCTAAAGGTTGAAACTAAACTGAAAAGCGGACCCAATTTTCATCGGGTTTTTTTTTCGGACAGCTTCTTTAAACTTTGGGAAATGTATGATTGCTTTAAAAGTAATGGTGTAATGATAATGAGAACAATCAAATTTGATAATGAAAACTTATTCAGCTATTGCTGTTAAGCAATCTAATTTCCAATGAAATTCAAAAATCAAAACCCAAATAGAAAACCAATTACCAAAACGGCCACCAGGACAAGTGGGACAAGCCTTTACAGATTCTCTTATCCACTCACAGCATTGATTCGTGTAAAAACTTTCAGGAAGTTTTAAGCGTTTCAGAAAGAAAATCCTCAAAAAATGGGACCAAATCGGTCTTTTCTTCCAGATTTCTTTCAGATATTCGGGCCATTCAAAATGGTAACCTGAGTGTTTTTGAGTCTCTCATCGTCTTGTGTTCAGGTTTTAAATGGTAAGCCATAAATAAACTTGCTTAGCCTTGTCAAAGTTAGCCCAGAATAGAAAACAGGTTACGGTAGAGGTAAGAAAACTAGAAAATTTAGAATCTGTCTATGAAATTAACTTACAATTAACCGTTAAACAAGTCTTAACCTGAGTATCGAATTGTGGCTGACAAAATGCGTCTAGAAAGTTTTTTTGTGAAAGAAAATGACAGAAGAAAATCGTTTTTGAAATCCTGATAAGGCTTAAAGTTTTCAGTGTAGTTTTTGCCATTCAGTAAAATGATGGATAAAAACTGTTGGTTATCCATCAAATCGATTCATGAGCTCACTTTTTTCCCACCCACCGGTCATCCCATTTCCTTTCCGTTCCCCTCAAGAAGTCTTTTCATCCAAAAGCCTATCGGCTCTCTCATGGATAAACAAACAAATGTACACACACACACACACAAAAAGAGATTTATCCATAAGTTTAAAGTGATTTTAAAAAAGTCTTTTGAAACGATTGTAAGATCTTTTTAAAGGTCAGTTCATTTTTATATTATACAGTCATGGACAAAAGTCTTTTAAGGTTGGTTTTTAGAAGTTTGTTTTTTGTATATCTTGGTCTAAATCCGACCAATTTGCAAACGGTTAAAAGATTTAAAGAGCTTATTAAAGTCAAAAGTGGAGCTTTGGTACTTCATTCGTCGAGTCTGGACAACTATTGAACCCCAAATTCTACGTGATCTGGTTGACAGCATGCCGGGGGAATCAAGCAGTAATTGCAGCTCGCGGAGGACCTACTAAGTATTGATTTTCATAATGTTTTTCTCACAAGTTAAAAGACTTTTGTCCATCAATTTTTGTTTTATTAAAAAGTTCATGACACCTGATAAATTGTCAAATCCATCTTTTCGTAGTGTTAAAATTAGACTCTCTCAAAACTTTGGGGAGTCGCTTCCAAATGCGATAATAAGCTCTTTAAATCTTTTAACCGTTTGCAAATTGGTCGGATTTGGATACACAAAGAACAAACTTCTAAAAACCAACTTTAAAAGACTTTTGTCCATGACTGTATACTCTGCATAAATAGCAATTATTAAAAACTATATATAGATACTTTATTTAGGATCTGAAATAAAGTGCGCTAGATTTAAGATTAATACACATGAATTTATTACATTCATACACATAACACGAAAAGGGTCGATAAAAAGCATCACGATATAATAAATGGGTAGCACAAATAACGTCAAGAATCCACTAGAGCTTTAAGCTATTAAGCCTTAAGATCAAGATCATCTACAGATTATTTAAAGGTTTCGAGACTATTGGACTCTCTCAAAACTCTGGGGAGTCGATTCCAAATTCGATTCTGGCATTTCTTATTGGAAAAGAGTTATACACAAACTTATTGGAGGTGACTTGAATTTCTAAAACGAAAGAATCTCTCCTTGAATTAACCGTAGGATTAACTTTGAATAAATCTCGAAAAAGAGTTATTATGATAGAAGTACAGGGAACTCTACTCTACAATTACTCTACAATTACATTGTAGTTTGAGTTGATGGATGAAAGGAATTACGCAGAAGCCTTTGAGGTTTGTATTCTAAATGACTTTTACTCTCAAATGCAACTATTTACTTGGTACTTCGAATTTTTTGGCGTACAATCAATCGATCAATCGATCAATCGATCAAATGAATCAATCGATCAATCCCTTTATGCCCGTGGAGTGACTACTCTACAATTAAACCTTAAAATAAACTTTTCTTGCTTCGTAGGCTTAAAAAGAGAAAAGAAAAAACAAGTTGAACTAGTTGAATGCCGTTTTTTTTCAAAGAAGTACACCGCATAGAGCAATTTAAATTAATATTGCAATCTCGTTTCCAACTCTTTGACACTTTGCGTTTCTTCTTTTTCTCCGAATTCTCTCAAGAAGTCTTTTCACTCAAAAGCTCATCGGCTCTCTCGTGGATAAACAAACAAATACACACACACAAAAAAAAAGAGCTTTATCCATAAGTTTGAAGTAAAATGCTTAATTTTTTTAAAATAAAGATACAATCAGTTTTTTTCATTTCATTTCTTAGAGGACTAGGTGAAGCCCTAGCTGAATAATTTACACTAACAAGTGAACTGCTCAAATTTAATGCAAAGTTTGATGTTGATTGTTGATCTGTTCAAAATCACGTAATAAGCAAAGGGAGCGATTTCAGATGGGACCGTCTTGAGTTGAGAAGTGCCACTTAATAGTTGAGGAAATGAAAACGATTAATAAAGCTCTTAAAACTACTTGGAGCTCGGGTAGATTAAAAATCTCGTGCGACGCCGGAAATCGAACCCGTAACCTTTCGCTTACCGGGGCTAACCATTACACCACAACGCACCTGATCTCCCTTACTCCAGAGCGAGTTAAGTTCCCTTTCGAGTTAAGCGAGTTAAGTTCTCGTCTGATATCAAACAATAAATACTAATACTAAACGATTCAAACAATTGGGTTGGTGAATTGAAAACTGTCGGACTTTGAACTAAAATTTATTCGACATAAAACCATAAATTCATTCCAAATAATTTCCATTATTATTGACGACTTCTGCCCATTTTACAGGCAATTTGCGGATTCCCTCTTTCGTGGTAGGATTTTGGTTTGTGTGTGAGACAAGTGTGAGACTCCAAAATCGAGGACTGGAGATGTCCCAGTTTGAGCACTTTCTTCAAAAGAACCCCATTTTGGTGTCAATGAAAAAGTTGTAGAGAATCAAAAATTAGGATTATAGCCAAATTTCCAAAAAGATACACTTAGTAGTTTCGCTTAAAATGCAAGTTTTGTGAAAATTCGTAAATTTGGCATTTCTTGAAAACCAGTTTTTGAATCGTTCTGAAAATTTGGATATAAGCTTGATTTTTGATTCTCTACAACTTTTCCATTGACACCAAAATGGG